TCTGGAATTACGTCATCGGACTGACTCGATAATTAGATGTGCTTGTTCTTTGCTCAAGGCAGAACAATGAACTAACATTTGCCCCTAAAATGCAGTTGAGTCATCGGTATTCTATGATAAAGTGGATGCAACTTCCATTGTGTGTTAATTGAACCGAGTTTGATAGAATTTTATTTCTATTGAATGTGGAACAAACTGCTAAGTGGCTATCACTATTAGTTTTGTTACAGGTATTAATATCACATTGTTTTCTGCGAATAGAAAAAAGCATTTTTTGTATTTATTGACTGCAAATAATTCCTTTTTAGATTCTAATGAATTTTTGAATTTTGTGCTACATGGAAAGGTTGAATTGAATTCTTCAGTTTTAATGCGAAAATGATATTCTATAAAAATATTCTTCATCTAATACTTGAAACTGTTTTTTGATTATGGTAACCTGCTAGTAAAATGGGTTCCTCGAAACTTCTCTGCTCATATTAGTCTGTCAGAAATTGGGTTCCATGAAACAGTTATTTAAGTTTGTAGTCTGCTAGCAAATTGGGTTCCATGAAACTGGTAACCTGCTGATAAATTGGGTTTCTTGAAACTTCTCTGCATGTAACTTATTAGTCAGTCAGAATTTGGCTTCCATGAAACTGTTGCCTCCAGAGATCATAAAGGTCTAGTGTAATTTCCTAGTAATTGAAGGGGCAAACCTGAAAGGACTATTCCATTATTATATAGGGGTGGCAAATAATTCGTTCCTCTGCAAGAAAGTCACTCAAACTCAAACAGAGCACTATGACATAGCAGCATTCCCTTTAGTAGAATTGAATATTCTGATTTGATGAATGGTGGGCTGAATCTACAATTATTTGGATGTGAGTTGTGTTTTGGTATGCCACACATGCTTAATACAACTGCATGATAAGGTAGGAGTATGTTTATGTTTTTGTTTTTAATTTGGAAAACCATCTTGGACGACTGCTATTGACAGGTGAGGAAGCAAAATATTACCTTAAAAAATAATTTTATTGGTGCTTAAATCTTGAATTATTGTTTGGTAAATAAATTGTTTGTCTTTTATTCTGTTTTTTACCGTTTTTTAGTCTGTTCTAATTGCATCTGGTAGAGTTTGGTCTGTGATCAATAATTCAATTTTTGTTTCCGTTTATTCTGCAATATTAAAGTGATACTTTGTTTTGATCAGCTAAAAATAATCTACTAAGCAATACTAAAATGAAACATTCTTATAATATTAACCCTTATAGTTGTATGTGTGTGTGGCTTTCAAGTAAACAAACTTTTTACAAATCTTTGCCAATCATGGACAATTGAAAACAATTGTAGTAGTGACCATTTTACTGGCAATGCAATTAACTTTATTACGACAAATGTAGGCCTCATGATTATTAAAATCACACCTTTTCCTTAATACTTAATTATTTGGAGATTTAATCTTTTGGATTCATAGAATGCAAATTATACTTTTATTCATGGTGTTAAAAATACCAACTCTCTTAAAAATGATGTTTAGTTAAATGGTAATGACTTATGCAAATTGGCTGGCAGGGTAGTTGTGGATTGAAGCATCACCATCCATCCGTTTCAATGATGATCTAATTTCCAGCTCAAAAAATCAGGTCGTATTTGCAGGGTAATTTACAGTTTTCCAGATGATATTTGAAACAAAAAAAAAACTATTACATTATTTGATTTTGAATTTTTGGGAATAGACCTTTGACCTAGTTTCATCTAGATTGTTGCCATGCTTTTTTCATTTTCATAACCAATATTATCAAATGCCAAAGACAACTGTAATTCCGTGAGAGAATAATTTTTTGATTTTTCATGAATTTTACAAATCTGTGGAAATCTCAATCTCTGTAATTGGGCTGTTGAATCATGGGATACTATTATTATATTTGTTCAAATCTGGCTGTTTCCAATTGTCTTTTTAATCCGGTAAAAAAATAACCTGAAATGCAGTCTTACCGGTAATCGCAAATCTATGCTTTAATACAGTGAGTCACAGAGTCTTTCTCAAAATGTTATCCCTGGAAATGCTCTCAAACTATGAAATGAAATAAACATTTCTAGCGGATTACAGTATTTTGAATAGATTTGAAAGGCAGTTGTATATTTCCTGTTAAGCATATAAAAATAACCGTATTTTCACTTTATAGATGTTGTGAGCTACTAATATAAATTAATCTCCAATGAGCCCTGACTAGCTTTAGGGACAAACCATTCAATCATAGGGAGGGCTACAAAGATGTGAGGGACAGCTTTCAAAATCAATTTCTCATTCTACTTGACTAATTTCGTTATATAATCTTTAAAACATAAATACTCTCATATCACAATATAGTTAAGACCGTGTGTACCCCTCAATCCATTTTTCAAATGCTCACCCCTAGGATTTGAAATGAACTACCCCGCACTACAATCCTACCATCCACTGGGGGAATTAAAAAAAAGTCTGCTATTACCAATTGTGGCAGGTACCGGAAGTTTGTTAAAATCAGTAGAGCATTGTGTGTCAGTACTTTATTATAGTAAATGGATTTTACATACAAAGTGCAGTAGATAGTGTCATGGAATGTTTAAATACGTTACCTATGCGACTCTTGGTACAATGAGCTATATTATTGACTCGCTGTCTTGTTACCAGTATTGATAATACAATTAGTTTCCTGGTCTTTGTACACATTAATTTTTTATTCGAAACCTGTCAATCAGACTACTGTAAATGCATTAAATACTTGTATTCGCCTTGTTTCAATTTCGCTATTTTTGCTGACAATTGATATTTGCGAAATTACATCCATGCGAACATAACAAAAAAAAAACACGCTGTTTCTCTTTCAAATGCCTGAATTATCTTCAAATCGTGGCATTAAATTGCTTGGAAAATTAATCCTTTTACTTTCTTTTGATCTCTTGCACTGCAATTTGAAACAAATTTTTTTTACAAATTTTAAATTTGAATAAATGGCATTTGCACTGTATGTATCTCTCTTTCTGATAGATAGCAGGTGTTATTAGTTTTTAATTTCTTTGAACAAGGTACGTTTAACTGTTTGAAAAAAGCTGTTGTTCGTTAACAGTAGACAGGAATGCAGTAGACATTTTTTTTTTGTGATTTCAGAACCTCTTAAGACTGACTTCCTTCTCACTGCAAAGTACCGCAGTACTAGTTTTGGAGCCTTTAAGACTGACTTTGGAGCATTTGGATGTATCATAGAACATATTCTCTACCACTGTCTCCTGACTCTTGTAGTCTGTTCTACCATCTTA